CTGTAGTTCATTGCCAGCAGCAACAAAAAGTGAGACTTCCCATTTATGTATCAAAACATAAAGACAAGAAGTGGAAACAGAGGCTCGGTGAAAGTTCTTGCATTATGCCTACAGGAGATACCTGATAACATAAAAGTTCCCTGTGACGTGCTACATGAGCACCTACATGCAATACATAGGGTCACATGGCAGGTGTGTTGTTGTTCTCTCACCTCACACACATATGCCATAGTTTTAACAGCTGTTTTAAATACCAGCATTTTATTTGATATTTCCAGGTTTATTGCTGACTTTTGACTACAAAGTCAAATTTAGTTAAATGCTGTTTGTGCAGCAAATTATAAAAACATTCATAGCAAACTCTCCAGCACCACAAGCAAACAGTTCTCTAAAATTAATAGAAAGGACAGCTTTGAAAATATGCACACTCATGTGTTTGGTGTGTTCATGGGCCAATATTTCTGATTTTCAAGAATGCTTTCCAGCACCCAAATAATTTCTTAACCAGTGAGACATTATTGCACATGTAGAAGAGCATGTCCCTAGACACAGCCTCACTGGAAAGCTAACACAATTAATGCTGATGCAATTTTGCCTAGGCTAACTGTACAAGTGGTTATGTATAGATGCATCTTATAAACAGATACACCTATGTATGTGTAGAGAATACACATACACAGGTTGGGGCTTTCTGAGTTCAGGTAAGTTTGGCACACAGCTGTCTTAAACTGCTGAGGAAAACCCAAGCTGAAGGTTTTCAGGCATTTCTTGATGACCCCCCCCTCCCCCCCATGAAATAGGTAAGGAGCAACCTGAAGGACAGGAATGGGAAGTTCAGGCAAGCTGGGGTCAAATGGTAAGTCCGAGAGACTAACAAAAGGCTCAGTGAAACTTCTGTTTGAAAGGTGTATATCTAAGAATCAAAGACAATCAGAATCAGACTCTTCCACATGCCAAACACAGGGAAATGTGGAATGCTAAACAAATCCCATTCACGTGCAAACCCAGTGGTGGGCTAATCACTCCAATCTATGTTTTGGAAGACTTAGGACAGTTTTTTCTTCTACCTGTAAGTGAAAACACTTTCAAGGATCCCTCAGATCTCTAAATTAGAAATAACTCCCCTCTCTCTGTGTGTATAAATGGGCATGCAATAGAACATTGTATTAAGAAGGGCTTATCTCCAAAGTGTCCTCTTGTGAAACCTATTGCCATGGATATTCAAAATCACACTGTTTGTAAATATCAGACATTCCCTGCCCCACCCCCAACTTTGCTATTGGAAAGCTGAATTACTTAGTTTGTTTCATTTTCCCAACATATGAAGTTTATGTGTACATTGACAATGATGTGGCCCAATAAGAGCAATTCTCCAGTGAAAGAGTGAGTGCTGAGGACCCAGCACCCACACACTACATGCCTGAGGGTCACTTCAGATGAGCTCCAGACATAGACTGAACGTGCATTAGCAGCACAGCACGTCAGGTACACTGCTGAAGCACATGTTCCAGTTCAGTCTCACCCCAAAACAATCAAGTTTGTGTGCTCTGAGATCACTCTGTACTGACAGCCCCAGTGGCATGTAGAGAAACCACTTAGAAAGCACAGACACACTCTGAGTTGTTACCAACTTTAGCATATGTGCACCAACTGTCTTCACATTGCATTTCATGTCAGCTTTCAGGTTAACTCTGTTAGGCCTCTGCTACGCTACAGAAGCTAAAGAATTCATGATTTGCAAGCAAAACACAGACTTCTTAAAGAGAAGGAATAAAAAACTTGAAAACTTACCACAAAAGCTTACCTCATGTGTGAGCACTCCTGAAAGAGAAAGCTTTCTGAAGGAATGTTCAGCTTGGCAGCAAAGAAACACATACCTTTGATGCAGTTAGCTCACGCAGAATAACATTGGTCAGTTGTAAGGAGATTTGTTTTAATCCCCTGCTTGATACAGAACAGCTCAATCTGTGCATTTAAGGACTCCTGAATAAAAATCCTCCCAAATATCCAGTATGAGCAGCACATGCACAATCAAGTCTGTACTAGGAGGCTGAGATTTCTGAGTCTATTTCTTCAGACCTGAACAAACCCTGTATTTGAAAAGATGGCCTCGGAAGGGCAGTTCTGGTAGCATCAGGGGCCCTGCTAAACAAACAGCTGTCATGACTAATTAGGTCAGTGACTTATAGAAGTCAGTACTCTGCCAAAGCTTTAAGACGGATGAGGCAGTGCATTACGACTTCAGAAAATGCAATTACCAAGCAAATCTGACAGAAAAAGGTTTCCTCTCCAGAGGGCAGGCTGCAGGGTTCTGGCACTCTGCATGACCCAGCGCCTCTCACCTGGGGCTGGGTGGGATTACTGCAGCTCAGTCGGAGTGAAGCCGTTTCAAAGCAAGATCTGGGGAAATCTGCATCAGAACTGAAAGAAACAACAGGGGCCATTAGTAACATTTCCAGTCCAAAAGGAAGCCCAAGTCTTTCCCGCCGTGGTGGGCTGAGGCGCCGTTGCCCCAGTGCCCGCTCAGGTGCTGCCTCACAGCACGGGGAAAGCCTCAGCGCGCCAGCCCCGACAAAACAGCCACGACAACCCGCAAACCATGATGAAAACACACAAATTAAGAAGTCACACACTGGCTCTTAAGACACTGTCTCCCAGCTCCCCCACAGGCTGCCTGGGGACAGTATCCCCCTGTCCCTGCCGTGGTGCTGCAGGGTCACAGCTCTGGCACAGGCTTTAACTGCCAAGTTCCCTCGCTTGTATTGCATAAAACCAGTACAGGCATTGTAAAGCTGGGACAGGCCTAGTTCATCTTTTGGAAGTGATGGTATTTTTCAAGAAGTAACGCGGGTTTATGAGGCACCTCCTCCCCACGCCCGGCTCAGCCCTGGCTGGCTACGGGAGCAGCCAGCGGAGACACAACTCTGGGACAGCAAAAACTGTCACACAAGGAAAACACAGAAGCAAACGGTACATAAAAACCAGCATGGCAACATCTCGGACTAACTGGTATTATGACTTGAGACATATCTCTCTGTTGCTCACAGATGAGTATTGGGTAATTCTCCACCTCAGCAGTCTGGTCTGCGAAGTGCTGGAGACACTGCATCCCACTAGCTGAAGAGCTTTGTCAAATTAAGAACGTATTAAAATAAGAAACATGATTGATTTCTTAAGCTATTAGCACATTCAGTGCTAGACACCTTAAAAAGTTAGATAATGACATTAAATTTAATGGCAATTCACAAATTATTTTGCTACCCTGTGGCCCTTATCTCTACTGAGCAGCACCATCCTTTCACAGCTGTGCTATCAAGTTCTGTGACAATGTCTGCAGTGATTCATTAACCCATTGCGTGGGGTATAGGCCACTGCTCCATTGTCAAAGTAGAATCAACTCCCGTTTCTGTCAAGGAGCCTTTATCCCTCCATTTATTCTGTTATGCAACTGACAACCCCACTCTGGGCAGACAGCAGCCTCTGGGATCTTCAGCTTCTCTGTGGAAGGAGGCAGCTCCCACAAGAAAGGGCTCCTAGCATAGCCAGGACTATCCAGTGGCAGCACAGTCCAAGAACATAAGCCATGCTTCCATGGAAATGTGACAAGGAATCCTAAGTTTGGTGTTGGGAGTTCAGTATCTTTTGCCCTGGAAACTAAAATTAGGTGTGACCAGTAAAGGGAGTTATGGAATTTTATCTGGGACATTTTGGGAATATGGGCAAAGGTAATGGAATAGGCAGGTCCAGTGTATTTCATGCTGTAAAAAGAGAAAAGTGATTCTTCGCTTTTGCCATCCTTTGAGAGTCATCTTAGTTCTCACAGCAGTAGAAAGTCCCAATGCCAAAACAACTGTACTCTATAGAATGTGAGAAAGGGTCACATTAATTGTAATCCCATTAAGAAAAGTGTGCCATCCCCATCCCCAGAAGACAGAGGCAGCAGAGTACTATACTATTGTAAAGGCCAAATATCTGTATTTTAATAAGTTAGAAGAAATCCAGATATAGAAGCCATAGAGTCACTGAAATGTTAACACGTTAATATATTTTAAAGCAAATATAACACAGTGTACACATAAAAACCATTTAATACAAAGTGAAAACCATTAGATGCACCTACTAATGCAGATTTTTGGTTATTTTCAGCTCTTTCACTGAAACTTAGAAACAATGCTCTTCATTCCAGTTACACCAGGTCAAGTGGTGAAACTGATCTAAAGCAAGCGTATCACTGCCTCTTCATCCACCTGGGAAAGACAGCACCACTGCAACTGAGAGTCTCTCCAGAAGGGCATCCAAACGAACCAGGCTGTGCACATTTGCCCCACTCGCTAAGCTATACAAGAAACCAGATGTGAATTGATTGTTGCTTCTAAATAGTAAAGCTGAGTAAGTGCATCCTTGCTGTACAAAAAAAAATATTAAAGTGACAACATAGAAAACTGGCAAAAAATAACCATGTCTGCCTAAAATATACACATATGATACATAATTATGGCCGTGCTGGCCAGTACGTAAGCCTGTTCAAAAGCAAAGCTTTAATTGCACAGGTTAGAAAAAACAAAAAAATGCTTTTACAGAGCAAAGCACAAGCTTTGGTTTATGCTTAGACAGTGAACATTAAACCTTACATTTTTATTATAACTTCTATTAAGAAAAATGGCTCCTTTCACTGCTACATGCCATAGCTGTTTCTCTATGAATAAGCACTCCATTCCACACAATGAAATGAAGCTCAGTGTCTTATTCAAAGAACCCATTAGCTGCATCTAGATTGGGAATGTATTACATCTTTATTGAAAGCTAGTGAACTACAAAAAGTCTATTTCCTTCACAATTCCCCAGCCCTCCCCCCATTTTTAAAATGCTGCATATATAAAAATAACTCCAATATGGCACAAAAGTGGGATTCTCAAGGGAAGGCAATGGATAAAGGGGCAAAAGGAAGCCTCGACTGGCAACACCAACAAATTGTATACAGTCCAAGAGGAATTTGCACCCTATACAAAATGAGCTTCCCTATGTTCCAGTTCTTGGATCCTTTTTGGTCTCAGTCTCTGGTAAGTAGGCTTCAGATCTGTGGGGTGAACATCCTCTGAGCTAGTTTTTTGTTCATTTGTGTTTTGTTCAGGATCACCTGATGGAAGTGCAGAGCTCTTAGCCAGTTTCACAGCATTATCCTGGTGGAGCGCAGAGCTAGCACTGGTTGGTGCACAAGCTTTAGCAGAAGAACCATCTCCATTTTCTTTTGATTTGCTAGAGGGTGGTTTATAAAATGTCCCTGGGGGTGGCTGCAATGTTCTTGGTGCCCTGAAGGCAGTAAGAGGATTAACATCAGGACCATTCTCTTCTGTTGCTGTCCTTCCTGACCCGACAGAAACAGAATATGGCTTACTAGGAAGAATGGCATTAGCTGAATTGTTACCAATGCTGCATGATGATGATAAAGCACCTGCAGTTCCACTCTCGAGCGCTCGGCTCTCCTGGGGCACATTAGTCACGATCATTGCTGTCCTTGTTGTGATGTCATACTGCTTATACTGCTTGTCCCAAGTTTTTCGCAGCATCTGTGTGTCATAACAAGGCAGTCTGCAGCAGGTATTAACAGCAGGGAGTGCCTTCACCTCTGAAACTTCTTCAATGGTAGGGCTCCTGCCCAGCTTCTCTGGACTCGCTGCTCCTGCAATTCGAGAGTTTCTTTCATTGAGAACACACGGAGGAAGTATTCTGTCGACAGGCAGGCTCACGGGGCGAGAGCTTGGCTTCGTCCTTGGAGCCCGCAGGGGAACTTTGGTAATCTGACGGTTAGATTTTGCAGGAAGTATGTTTATTTTACAGCTGTCTTCACCTGGAGAAATGAATGGATCGTTGTCTTTCTCTGAAGTTGGACTCAAAGCATCACCTAGAAACACACAAATAGGTGTGATTGGATCTTTGAACCAAAGAGAAAGAGTAGTCAGCAAGACTTTACTAATGATCCCTTGACAGCTGGTATTTCAATGGGATAAAACTGTTTAGGGACAGCTTGTAGGCATACTAGGAGTACCCTACTCTAACCAAATGTTAGCATTTCAATAGCAGTACAACACATGCTACACAGATACAATCAAGGAACACACTTCAGGAGAAAAGAGGTAAAAAAAGACACTACACTTTTTTGGCTCGTGCTTTCCCAACCCTGAATATTTTCAGTTTTAGTATGTTTCAGAATGTTGCACTGTTAATGTACAGGACATGGCTGAACTGGTAACACCAGCTGAAAATCAGTATAGTTAAAAAGGATTACGTTACTCCTAAAGAAAGTAGATGAAATCACACCTATATTAAAATAAACCACTGTAGCAGCACAGGCAGACAAACAGGAAAAACTAAAGATTTAGAATTAGGTTACTAAACTTGGCTTTTTTTGAGCAGAAATATTGATAACCAAAATGCTCTTAGCTGATGATTCTGTCAGAGAATTACTCTTTCGAAAGCCTTCTGGCTTAGTTCCAGTGAATGGCAATGATACACATTCTGGGGGAAAACAATGGTCAAGACATATGAATTGCTGGGTATTAGTTTGCAGCATCACAGTGGATTTCAGAAATCCACAGTCACAGCATAATTATGGGTTTCCTTTGTTGTTTTGTTTTCTTTGGAGAAATCAAAACACTGTTGTATTTGCTTACCAATTACTGATTCCATAAACACAGGTTTCTTGAAAGCCTTTAGAAAGAGTTAATTCTCTGTTCTTACAAAAATAAAAGGCATATCAAGCAGTGATGAGCAAGTTTGATCACTTGCTTCTGTCTAAATTGAAGAACTGTATGCATTATAATCTAATGCATCCATGAGTCCATATTCACCCACCCCAAAACTTCACATCATACTAACCAGTTCCAGATGTATCTTCTTGTTCTTTTGTATTCTTGCTATTGTTTGACTCCAGAAAGAGTGCAGCTGTTTCTGAAGCTCTTTCACTCGGAGCTATTAGAATACCCTGTTAACAAAAGCCAGAGCAAAAGTAAGAACTCAAGAGAAAAGGCACTCCTTCAGAACAAACCCCACAAAAATTTATTAAAAATTGTGCGCTGGAATGCTGAAACATCTAACACACAAGTTAGGATGGCACATTGTGGCAGCACCAGAAGAATCACTCACTTCCTTTACAGCAGTGAACAGCTTCCTCTGCTGCTGTTGCTCCCTCTCATCTGCTGATAAAGCAACTCTGACCATAACAGCTGTTTCTTCAGACTGAGACGTGCTCAGAAGAGGTTTCAATGAAACATCAAATATCTTTTCATAGTATGTTATGAGCAGCTCCACTACCCGGGCCTGGTAAGGGTAGTCCACGAGTGATGACAAAGAAACTGTAGCATCAGTTTGACGTGGTCTGATCAGAGTTGGGCCAAATATTATGCCAAGGTTGCTGGCTGACATTTTATTTTCACCACACTGTTCTGTAACTCTGCATAAAGGGGTGGAAAGAGGAGAATAACAACAAAAAAAAAGAGAAAACGAACACCCAAGAGTTAGAGGGTTTTATTAGTTCAGAAATATTTTTGATATTAAAATATTGACATATCTAAAGAGGAAAAAGACAACAAAGAACTGAAAGTGGGTTTGGTAGGCAGGCAGAATTTTCAATGCAGACTACATTGAACAGTAGTTTGGACTTTCCACACAGGGTGTGTTTTTATGTCCTATTTGCAGCTATTTGGCATTTCTGGGGTGGGGAAAAGAATGCCTTTCATTCTAAGTAATAATACAGCTGTGGTCCAATATGACCCACTTTTATTGGCAGTCATAAGTTTGGTACATCAGCATACAATCCAGCATTAGGATGATGAGGAAGTGACATGTAACTGGAGAATGGTTATTAAGAGACACGATACAAGTTTCAATTGTCTGTTAATAGCCACCAAATTGCTGCTCGATCTGGGTCACATCTAGATTGCTGCAAGTGACACTAGTTCCTACTGACTGATCCCAATGTTAGCAGAGAATCAAGAATAATGGACATTAGTTCTACCCTGCTTTATGTCCCTTTTATATTCTTCTCTCTCTTGAGAATTCATTACATAGAAAAGAGAAACAGCAACGATGTCTTCTGTGTCACTTCTTCCGCTACAGTCATCGAAAGAGTACAAGAGATTCCTAGTGTGCAGCATGTAGCAGTTTATTTTTCAACATCAGTTTGCACTGAAAGTCTTTTCTCACCTGTGAAGGTGTCCAATAAGGTACTGAAGAGTGTTATAGTTTGGTACAGGTAGTTGTTTCAGAAGATCTTTAATTTTAATGATGATCCTGTTCAGTTCAATGCAGAGTGACTGCCTTTTCTTGGATTTAGGGCTAGCATCCAAGTCCCCATTAACATGCTGGCTTTCTTTTCCAAGTCCAATGAACTCATTGTAAAGCCGAAACAAAATCAAGGGCTCTGGAAGCTGAAGAAATAATATTTCAGAAACATACTCAAACCTGAATTTTAACTTGTTTCCTTCCTGTTTTACTTCAACTTTGCCTGGTCTAGCATCTTTTCTTAGATGATGACATTGTTTAATCCTTGTTCATTAGCTCAAACCCCAGTTTGTCAAACCTAATACCAGGAAACAAAGACACTCCTACACTTTTCTCCAGAAATCTTTTCCTAGCCCTTTCCTACAACAGATTCAGGATTGAGCATCTATCAATACTTTATAGAAATGAGATTCCAAGAAAAAAAAAAAGATTTCAAGAAAATGACTGCATGAGGGAGAGTGTTACACCACATATGCCCAAATACTGTGACAATAGAGCAGTTATTTTTCCTGTCTTTGATAGCATATTGATAGTATGTAATTAATTTTAATAATCAGTTTCAAATAGGGTCTAACTCAGGATTTTGCCTAAAAAGATCTTAACTGCATGTTTCTAGCACTGAATTTAAAATTAGCAGGTTTACCTAAAAACCACACCAACAGATCAGCTACAAAGGATGTAGTAAGACCAGAAGAAAACCTTTTATTTAACTAGAAGCCCTATTCAAAATACAGCACAGTGCCTCAGACTGATACTCCAGTACCATATATGTAATATGCTACCTTTCTACTAGAATGTGTAGGCAGGGCACACTCCTTGGAATTTTGCAAAATCACTTAACAGTGATGACCATAGGATTGAAATGTTCATCTCTGATAGCCAGTGTAAGGAACAGGACAGGGGTATGCAGCTAAGGATTATTCCTCTCAGGATTAAAAGTTTGTGTGACTCAGTAATTTTACTCAGCAACATCACAACTTCATTTCTTCAGACCCATATTAAAGCAGTTTTGGAAAATTCAGTCATGAAGCTTCAAAGTTCCATTTTGAAATAAAAAGACGGATATTCCCTCCATAATAAACATGTCATGACCATTATGAGTGTCTCAAATTTTGCCAGTGGATATTTACAGCAATATACTGGCATCTGTCTGTTTGAGGAGGTAAGAACACAGGAATCTTGTAAACTTCACATAAGACAGGCAAATTCAGAAAGGTTTTGAAAATTAAAACTTCACTACGAGCAGACAAACAAAAGCTTGTTCTGTGTATGGTAGTAAATTCAAAGAGCCATAATACCCATGTGGAAAACACATTGTAATACCAGCAGCTTCCCCTGCCCTTGTGCCCTTGTCACAGGCTTCATGAGGAAATAAGGAAGCCTACTGCAAATATACAAGGCACTCAATCTCCTGCTGTAGGACTGCTGAAAAGGATTTCCCTTTTCCTATTACACTAAAGAAATATACTACAGTACTTCGGTTTTCCATCTGACCTCTCAATTCCATACCTGGCGGAGATACAGCTTGAGAACGTTGCTGATATCATGGGCATAGAGCTCCGAGAGCTCGACCAAATCCTTCCCATTTTCAAAAGCTTGACAAAGCTTTTCAACTCTTGATTTGGCTCCATTCACACGATAGATACCCTGAAATTAGAAGACAAGTGCAACGCTATTTCAGTTCGAAAGGGAAGTGTAGAACACACATGATGTTGACAGTACAGCATTAACATCAAGAGAATTTTTCTTTGTTTTTTACTGTTGTTCATGCTGAAGTTTCATAGACCAATGTGAGCATACCTTGACATTCAGTGCTCTGCTTTCAATTTCTGATGTACACTTTTTGATGATGAAAGGAATGCCATCAGGAACATTTTTAGCAGCTTGGGCAAATTCCACCCCAAACAAGTGAAGCCTTCCATGAAGTTTTTTGTGCCCACATTGAATAGCCAACGTCTCTAAACATTTTTTATGGCATGCAAGTGAACACTACAGGGGAGGGAAAAAAAGCACATGGTTTAATACAATATGACACTGTAAGAAATATCTCTGCTGTTTGTCATCCTGAATGTGAGCAAAAGGCAAGATGTACTACTATGTTACACCTTTGCTTTGAGTTCATGGTGATTATACAAGCCACAAACTCTTGTAGTTTTTATACAGAAAAATAATTCAAGTTTCCAAAACTCCCAACTCTACATAAATGCCAAGCAGCAATTTAAACTAATTTTCAACTTACCTCCTCACATTCGGCTCCGTGAAACACCACTAAGCTGTCGCATTCTCTGCATTTAGATGGAGCTCTCAGTTTCCTAAGTTTGTGTGTTTGTGCTGCTTTGGACATATTAGCATTTCTAAAAGGTCCTGGAGAATTTGCAGTTTCAGATGTCAGATCGCTTAAACCTGAAGAGAATTTCTGTTATAGTCAAATCTAATATCTACTATTGGCACAGTAATTATTCTGATTCTTTAAAACTGTGTGCAGAACACAGTTCTGTAAGTAATAGCAACTTGATTACCGAAGTAATCAAAAACATTTCAATCACAAGGAAGCAAGATTAGAATACAATTTACATAACACACATTAAGTATCTAAGATTCTTTAAAGAAGTGGAATCAAACAATAATTTTGGCATTTTAAAGTATTCCAGTTTTCTCCTGTATTAATGGCATGTGAAAATATTAAGACATTTAAATCCAGCTGCCCTGCAGTTCAGGAAACAACTCATTGTTCCATTTTAGGTATTTCAAAATCTTGTACTAGAGGATGAAAGGTGACATTACGCTTTGGCCTGCAGCATTTCTGAAATACTTCAACAAGAGAAGCAGGGAAGAATTAACACACTCACAGCAGAGCCCATATAAAATAAAGACAACCACTGATTCTCAGTCTCCTACAACAACATCAAAATACTTTGTAGAGGATCCTAAAACAGAAGAGCAATTGGTCCTTTTTGTGTTAATTTTTTATTCCAGCAATTTACTTAAAATGCTATCAACAACTCTGAACCAAAATCCTTTGTCTTAACAGATAAAATAAGCACATACAGTTAATTGACCAGAAAGCTTCTTAAAAGCTCAAGCATTGATTAAACAATATCACTGCAATTGAAAGTTTACATTCATTACTACACTGACATGCTTTAAATCTGAATCTAAATTAATATTAACCACAGGCTCATTCCTGGAAGGCAAAGTATACAATTAGGAAAGAAGGGCTAACTGAAGAATTTCCTGAAGGCTTTACTGAGCAAGTGCCACAAATATTTCTAAATTAGTTTGTAAGTGCTGTAGACATCCCATAGGAACTATTTCTGATAATCCAGTTATTCAGGTTTCAATGCCTGTGGCAACATTGCCTTTATACAGTCAAAATTCAATTGAAAATTAGAAATGGTCTGGTCAAATCTGAGACAGACATTACCAAACTTGCTTATCTCAGCTGGAAAGGGTAAAATCTCAGTTATTGCCCTAAACATTTTGATCCACTTTTTTCCAATTTGCTAATTACCAACTCTATGTATCTGTGCATTTCACTTCAAAGTTCAGAAGTGATCTTACATACCTCCATGCCATGCAGCTAACCTTAAATGAAAATGTCTGGAGGGAATGGTTAGTGGATCATTTGTTTTTATCTCAAGAGGGCGAGGACACTAGAAGTGTTCAATGCCTGCCCATATAGTTAACCTAAATGTATGGAGACAATTCTGCACCACATTAAAATGACCTGAACATCATTCTTCAGCTCTCAACCTCAAGTGGATGCACACTGCACTGAAGAGCAATGCTGCTGGTAATCACAGCCTTGTTAAAGTATTTGTCTTAAGCACGTCAAAAAGAAAAGCCACAGTCTACAACAAAAAGCATTTTCTGGAGACTTCAGGTATGGAAACAATATTACCACAGTCTGAAGGAGATGGTGGCTCTCTTTCATCAAGATCATCCGCAGATGACATAGTACCAGTGGAAGGTGTTCGAGGAAGTCGTCTTTTAAAGTCCCCTAGCAGATGAGAAAAATTTCCAGAAATACATTAAGTATCAGTTCCACCCAACTGTTTGTTTTCATTATGTGCTCTGTTCAATACATGCTTATCTAACAACAGTGTCTTCATTAATGTAAAAGAGTCCACAGAAAAGACTGCAGACTAGTAGAGCGTTGAGTGTAGCTGTACCTGGGCTAGCAGATGGAGAATCCATGGATCGCGACTCACTGCTCCCCCCAGCACTTTCAGAATCACTGCACATTCCTCCACTCTGGTTGCCAACTGACCATGATCTGAACGGTGGTGGCCCTCGCACTGCTTTTGAAAAGAAAATCCACCAATTCCAAATGTCAACGACAAAAACCCACTTTTTAAAAAATGTATTTAAAGACTATGATTATATTGAAAACTGGAAAATATTGCAAGTTACATGAACATGCAATATAGTGAAAACACCCACAGCATATATTCCTGTAAAAGCTTCAGGATCTGAGAAAATTAATTTCAGAAATTCAACATTTTCTGCTTTCACAACATCACATTTACAAACCCTATGGATTTTCAGTTGCTAAAGCTAATCAAAATAGTTCAGTCCCCTCAGCTTGACAGTACCAGCTGTTTGAACTGTATCTCCCCTTTCTTGTCAAAGAATCTAGGTGTGCATACAGGCAGTTTTCCATTTGTCCTTACTATGCTCAAGTACATAACGTTATATATCGGCTTCAAACTTTAGAATGCATTTTTAACCCTTCATTGCTACATTTCTGAATGAGACATCAAGCACTTATTTTGGGGTTTCTTTAAAATTTAGAGACTGAGGTCCAGATGGAATATAGAAGAACTACCTTGGATATCTGTGCTGCTGGAAGATCTCTTCTCTCCAACCTTTTGTGAACGATGATAAACTGGGCTTCCCACATCATCTAATGTCTGAGCAGGAAAATCTCCTGAACACTGAGATAAGTTACCATGTGATGTATGGATGCTGTTCGTTGATTGCTTATTAAAAACCCTTCAGGAAGAAAGTAATTTAAAGAATGAATACGACAATTGAATGAAAAGCAATTTATGTTTTTAATCCCTGAGCACTAAAAATGCTTCATTTAATTCCTGTTTGTGAACATACATATTTGATATGCAATTATTAAAGCCCAAATGTAAAAATAAAAAAGGGTGGGAATTTATTTTTGATTAAATATATACAATTTCCCACTGTTTTCTCTCCACCCCATAAATCAGCTTTTCCACATCTCTGCATGGTATTATGAACATGATCTTGCAGACTTTGAAAAAAACCAGCCAATCTGTTCACCTGAAGATCAGAATAACTCAGAGGCCATTGCATCCTGTGCTTATGCTTTCCTCCAAAATATTCTCTGCCTGGACATTGGGACCATCCACCTACAAACACACAGGCACTAACATGCTGTGCTTTTGAAAAAGCACAGAAAATACATTGAAGCTGCCAAAGAGTCAACCCATTGTGAAAATTTGCTCTCAAGATAAGGACAGAAAACTGTTAGCAGTAATTAACCTAAAATGCTAGAGCACCCTGGGGACAAAACGGCCTGCTGGGCAAATTGAGCAGTCGGGAAGCTGTTCCTTAATCAGTTCTACCCTATCAAGCTTAAGGAAGCAGAGACTGAAAACATTAAAATTTGCATTTGTTCCAGTTACTGTCCCTTAAATAATGCAGACCTAATCAATAAAATGATCACTTCAAGTACATGAAAAATCACAAGGCCGTGACAAAGAACAAAAGGTGGGGAGAGGGAAGGAGAGAGATCACACTCCTACAAATCTTAAGCAGTAAATAGCTGGGAGAGCACACAAAGAGTTGGAAATTTCATGCTCATCAGTTTCTCAGGGAGCTACATAGTTAAATCCCCCTAAGTCAAAGTTTATGAGTATAGCCTAAATCAGTCTTAAAAGGCAGGAAATTTACAGAGAAGAACTAAGAATCTCAGCTTTAACTTTGAATTTCCTGGCTTTTGTTGGTAGAAGTCTGACTCAAGCATTTGGTTTTTTGTATTTAGTTTCCTTTAGAAAAACTATGACGACACTTTCCTGTAGAACTGTGAAACACACAGATTGGAATGGATATTCGGGTACTTTAGTGCTGAGATGACTACTTTACAACAAATTAAAGGTGGAAAAGCATTTGGCATGCTGACATGAGGAGTTCTCTTTTTGTCTTGAAGTCTTTACATCCACATGAGCTGGATCTTTCATAGATTAATAGTAAAAACTCCCATTTCATACAGGTTGGAAACAAAATAATTAGGTTAAAACATGTCCCTAATAAGTGGACTCTGAGCTTTTTTAAGTCACATAGCATGAGACAGAAATCGAGCAACACTTCCTGCCAAAAAGTTGCCAAATGTAAACAATATGAGAAGCTGTAGCAGCAAGGCCTGCAGAAGAGAAAAACTACCTCCTCAGACTTTCTGATTATCAAATACTACTGCCACCCAACCACTACTGAGTCCAAAACTAATATTTCTCACATTAAACAGTATCTACATTAAGGTAGTAACAAGTCAAGTATTGCACAACAATTGCCAATGTTTTAGCAAGTCTTATTGCATGAAATGACATTCTGCTTTGGAATTTCAAGGCAGGTTTTAATGTCAACATTATATATAATCTATACAAGATGAGACAAAGACAGAATGGTAAAGCATGGAAAAACACCAGGATTCCTTTAACTCCTCAAAAAATGATGTTTTATTGTTATACACATGTGCCTCGTGTTACACATGCTAAACCAAACAAATGCCACCTGTACTTTGGGACTTACCCATCAACCTGGGAACCGTGGGTTTCAAAAGAGCCTGATTCAATAGGAACACCATCCTTTGGCAAACTTTTCACGAACTCTGAATACTGTTGACCAGGGTCATAGAGTTTGGCACTCTCACAGAGGGACTGGCAGTTAACTGGAAGAGATACGACCTGAGTGTGCTGCAGCTGGAACAGGTTAACTGTTGCCTGTTGGGAGAAAAAAATTTGCATTATTTGTAGATAATTTACTAGATGTTTTTACTTGCACTTTGTTCAACACAAATTAGATTAAACAATAAGACTAGAAAAATTGTAGAAAATAGTTACTTTGCACAAGATTCCTGAAAGTCAACTGCAAAAACTTAATCTGTAATATAGATGTATTTCTGTTCTCTCTGGGTTATTGAATCTTCCAGGTAGCAAAGACAATTCTAGTGGCTTTCCACTTTGGGTTCATCAAGATAAACAGTAAGGGTTTTGCTACCAGAAAGGCACTTTTCATGCTCTGGAGGTAATTTTAATCACTACTACAATGATGACGTAGATGGAATTCCAAGCCAAGATGAGCTCCATATCATCTTGAGACATGAAGTGGGCAAAACTGTGTCCCAACTGACAGATTCACTGAACACTTTCCTTGTTAAATTACCTAACACTTTGAAACTACTTTATTACAAGGCAGAGACCAGGGCAGGGGACACTGCATGGCTGCTTCTTCAGCTTTGGGGTTGCAAAGTAATTGGCAATTTATATACACTTGAACCAAAAAGTCTGTCTGAGCTTTCTACTGGTCTCATGGGTTGGTTTTGGGGTTGATTGGAGAGGGTGTATGTGTTTGATTTTTTTATTGTCTCTTCCTGCCCCAGTATTAAATTGTCTTTGTCTCATCTAAAAAAAAAAACAAAACTATCATCCATTGGCATAATGCATTCCTAAAGCTTTTTTAAGCAATTGTGTATGTAATACACAGTTTGCCCATAATTTCCTTATTTGCACAGAAACTAGTACATTCAATAAATTGCAATGGATCTTGCAGTAGCTGAGACAGTCACCAAAACCGGCAGGCTCCATGCTGAAGCATGTTAATGTCCATTCTGTGCTTGATCCAAACATCTCTGTTAATGCACTAATGGAAGTAATGGGAGCTGTACTCTTAAGCAAGAGAGCAACACTACTGCCATCAATGTTTTCAGAGAGATTTTACAAGGATTGTGTAGTCAGGGTCCTTACAAGGCAACAGCTCATAAAACACCCAGAAAAGTTCAAGACATGTGTAACATGGCCTGCCTTTTTATTAAACTCCAATCAGAAAGAGAACATTACAAATAGATTAAAAGTTTTTCTTCTTTTTCTAGTGGATTGACCTATGTCCTTTGACAGCTTTTTGTTTTAAGCAGCTAACACTATAGAAGGACTTGTAGTTTTAACAACATTTATGTATCTGTGCCCAATGCAATATAAAAAGCATCCTTACAGCTTTCAGAGTAAGATCACACTGGTAAATAAGCTCCCGAAGCTGTGTTAAAACATCACTTTTAAAGCTTTCCATATCATTTCTTTTTTCTTCAACCTCCGCCATGCTTGCTTTATAGTGTTCATTGGCCTCTTCAGCCTAGAGAAAACACAAGTACAAAGGGTTGATAGACTACAGAACTTGACACCAGAAGCAAGAAAAAACACCCATATGAGATGCTTGTAATTGGAGATTCCCATTTAATATAAAAGCCTGAAAGAGCATAGCATGATTAAAATAAAAATTATGAACAGCACACTTATTCAAATACTCGCATTGGGAAAGCATGAATAAACCCAGTATAGGCTTAACTTTCAAAGCAAGGGAACAAAAACTCTTTACTTTTTGAAGAGCTTCCTCTTCTAGCCTTCGTTTTTTCTCCAGCTGCTTGCTGAAATCTTTTACAAAGCTTCCACTCGAGCTAAGATGTTCCTCCTCAGCACGAGCAGTGCAGGATTTCGCCTTTTCGTACTCATCTTGACGCTGTGTATATAGCAACTTTGCTTTTCTTAGAGCAGCTTCCAGCTCTTGCTGCAGAATGCAACATAGGAAAAAGAATGAACAAGATTAATTTTTCTGTTATTTAATGCCATGTTTAAAGACCCTGTTACACACAGGTCTGTATGATGCAAAGTACAGAGTCATGGACAGATAACCTCTTACAAATACCAGACTCATGAAACTGACAGTTACATGCTCCTTTCAATATGCCCTATAGATTTCATGTGTGAGTCTGAGTGCCTAACAGCCTAGTTCGAAAGTTGCATCCTTCTGAAGAATTTTAGACTGAACAATTAGATATGAAGGAATTACCAACCATTTTTTTCTGTTCTCGCTGCCAAAGATCCTTGATATCTTTCCTTTGTCTATCCAACTCATTTTTCCTTCCGAGAAGTGGCTAGATAAGAAACATTAATAGAGAACATTAAAGGCTTACAGGCTACGAGTTACCTCTTTTGAATATTCTGCATTGTCACAAAACTCTAAAATGTGTAAACAATATTTTGGTCTTTTTCTTTAAACTTACCTGCACAAATTTATTCGACTGGAGAGCAGCAGCTGTTTGTTGCCAAAGTTGATTGTTCTCAATATCATTTTGAAAAGCATTAATGAATATTGATTGGAATGGCATATAATCCTAAAATTACACAAAACACATTAATGGTCTAGATAAGGTAGAGGTATGCTGACATTCTACATGTCTGTATAACTGAACTAGACTTTCAATCAAATTTACTAAGGTATTTACATGTGTGTGGAAGTCAGGTATGAATGGAGGTAACTAATTTCTCATCTGTGTTTCATTTTACTGGAAAAAATTCCGGAGTCTACAAGCCCAAATCACAAAACATAGAAGACAGAAAAAAGCATATTGTGAAAACTATTCAGCATCTTTAACAAAAATGATTTTATTATATCCAACATTCCATAACAAATGGAAATACATAAAATACAGCTGATCTTTTAACCAGCAATGTACAGTATAAATCAATTCTATATCAACTTAAAAATCCACTCAACATCCCCAGAGTTTCCCTTGTGGGCAAGGCATCCAATACAGATTTCAGACTTAAAAAAAGCCCCTAAGACGTACTCACCTGTTGTCCAACAACAGCTTTAGCAGTTTCAGCCATTTTTGCTAAGTTTTTAGCACACTCCACTTCTGTTAAAAAGATTTCACAGTTACTGTTTACACTAACAGTTGTAGCACATGCTAAATGCTTTTTACATTCTTCCCATAACTAACAGGTTATAGAGGGAACCACCTTCACTTTGTTACAGGCCTTTAATTATAGGAAATGCACGATAGTTCTGTCCACTTCAGCGGAACAGCTACTAATTTAGAAATCACATTATTGACAGTCTGCAGCACAGAGGCCTGACAACGGATTTAATTTCATCATGACAAAGCTGATTAAATGCCAGAAAGAGCCACTCACCCAAACTAAGCTTTTTTTCTACCCATGCGACTACATCCTTGGTATATTTTGACCATGCTTTAGCATAGCACAGAGCTGATTCAATTCCACTGTCGTTTCTTAGGAGCATGCTATCAACCTCCTCTGCTCGAAGATGTCCTGCAAATAAAGCATTGAACACAAAGAGGTGATTTTTAGACATGACCACACACTGAGAGCAAAGCCAGTATTAGCCAACTGTGAATGCTTAAGCAGCTCTGATCTTGAGTTGGTCTTTAATGCTAGTTGACTCTAAACAGGACTGACAGAGGTTTTAGAACAAATTAAAGGGTCACAGTATTTTATCTGGAGTAGTCATATGGTCAGCATAACTTTCTTAAAGAAAGTGACCTAAAAAAACACCAATCATATATGACGACATAAGTGCTTCAGGCCTTGATTCTTTTTTGGGAGGAAAAAAGCAACCTGAGTTGATTACCTACAAAAGAATAAAACATTTGCAATAGCAGCTTGTTTTGGTTTTTTTTTACAGTGAAGTTTTAATGGCAGCACAGATTTAAAAATAGCGACCAAGCAACTGCCTTGCAACATTTTTAGACAAAAAAACCCTCAGATATAAAATGATCTTTATCAATGTTAAATGAATTACCTACCTTGAATATCATCCCTTTCATGCACTGAACCCCCAGACTCCACAGAAAGATTCTCAAAAGACTGGTGTACAAGAAACAAAACATTAAGTTAGCAAAGAAAAGCTCTCACTGGAACTGACAGGCTAACAGAATAAATGGCATTATCTGCCCCTTTCTTTTTTTTGCAGATAAAGCAAACTGCACTAACTCCCTCTCGTCTAATGCATAACACCTTCTAAGCTCCCATAGCTGCTGAATGAGACATAATAAACAGCAAGGAATTATTATATACCTTTAAATTGACAATCTTGAAAGGCTATGATGAAAGAGTTAAACATCAACCAGATTTGTTAAACAATTACATGAGCTCCAGCTTTTCTTAGATCCCTGCCTATTTTTAAAAACTATTTCATACAGACCTAATGCCCTATACATGTAACGGACTTCATTCTACATGCCATTAGAACCCTGTATTTCTTCCTCAAGGAAATAAAGTTACAACTTTTCCTAAATTACCTGCAGGTGTGCACTGTAGGCACAACTGTCTGGTAACACTTGCTAATGAAGCCCTGACAATCGGTGCGACCTGACAGAATTTAATCCAATAATAAAAAGAATTTAGCACACTATGTCATCCCTATCTTTGTCCTCATTCTGCATTTTGCTCCTCCTTTATTTTGAGAGTTGAACTATTTGTGGGACTGTGCTGTAAACCTGACTGCTCAACAAATCTGGAGTGCCCTTAAGCTTTACAACAGCAGCTTGTTTCCATGTAGACTTTGGTGCTGCTTTGGTTTCAGACATTAGCTAAAATGGAGTACAGTACTGATGATGCAAGTAGTTTTGGTTCGTTGGGTTATTTAACATAAATGAAAATTGATCATGAATCCCTCAAGAATCACTGTTCACTTAACAGCAAAAGCAGCTTTTTCATAGACCAAAACATGCAAAGTATTAATCATCAGTGATATTGAACAGACTCAAACTACAGTCTAAAGAGCTGCTCCATTCCTAAGGAAGTGGAACACTAGTACAGTTGCTGTCTAATAGAAGAGTTTCAACAAAATGGAAGGGCTTTTCCAGAACAGGTGGGAAATCTATCCCAAGCTGTCTATCAAGCAAACTGTTAGGAAAAAACCAAAACCTTAATTTAGAGATGGATCAGAAAAAGTTTGAACATTTCAAAACTTAGTTCAGATTTTGGTATAAAGTATTACTGTCTTCAAGTAGATTTTAAAGTGGCATACAGTTGTTAGGGAAGAAAAACAATAGTAATAATAAACCCCCCATACTTTATATTAACTTGAGGCACTTTTTAAGTTCCGGTCCTAAAAATTATTTCCCATAAGACCTAAATCACTGCAGCCCTGGAAACTGTTCACTGCTTTCCAGTTAATCAGGCACACAGTTAGGGCAGCTAATCAAAGGTCACTCATTCATCCATTTTGCCCCACTGCAAATATGTAATGCCACATAAAAGCTAACATGAACAACTACTTTTACTATGTTCTACAACTTATTATCAGAACTTGATCCGTACAGTGTGTCCCCTTGAGCAACCAATGACTCATCCCGGCAGGCTGAGCAAAAACTAACAGCCTGCTTTCTACATAGACTTCACTTCCAACTTCAACCAGTCTCTTCTGCCTTTTTTATCCCATTGCCCAAGACTCGCACCCTGACAGAGGCAAATCTCTTCACACATTTGAAAATTTTATCCTTCTCCTTTATTACACTCTCAGATCTGCATAGCATCAAACAGCATTCAAATAGCTTGTTGAGTAATGAAAGGTCAGACATGTCTGTCTCGTCCAGTGTGTTCTAAAGCTCTTCTGTTTTTAATTAAAAAATATCTTTGCTTCCACCTTGTGCTTCTAGTTGCACTACAAGGACTAAAATGAGAACAATTACATTTGCTAAGAGGGGGTATACGTATCATTTAACTTAAGCTTCCAAGTGGAATGCCTGAAGTAAACAATGGAGACTCCCCTGCAGTCAAGAGAAGCAAGATCAGCACCACCCACCCTGCCCCCCCTCCTTGGAGCAATCCTCAGCAGCTTAGTTAGGGAGGTCCCTAACCAAACAAGCAATTAAAATCTCTCCTAAATTACCCTCAAAGAATTAGCATGTTAAATTCTACCAAAATGTTATGCTCTGTGTAAAATATGGCTAGCTGCTATTACCAACCACTGAACATACTCATATATGGGAAAAGTTAATATAGCTCTGAAATATTTTGCATTTAACTCTTCCTAACACTCGACTCCTAGCTGCCCTCCAAATTGCTCTCTGAATTGCAAATCAAAGTGAAATGATCCATCTGTTAGATGTGCATATATTTCCCTAAATGAAAATGCATTTAAGATAGATTGCTAAGAAATTGAACCATATTATCCTACCTGCTCCAAAATTTATAATTGTTCACCTCCACATTAGGAAAGCAAGAGACACTACGAAAAAAGGGCTTTTAAATATCAACTGGTGACTTTTGAAGAATCTAGAATAGAATTCCTTCTTCATTTCACTATATTCTAATTTCCCCTTGGCCTTCCCCCATGGTCAGAAGAGTAACCTTTTAGGCAATCATTCACTTCACAATACAATATGTAAGACCATCTTGTTCCACAGGCACATATTTTTGCAATTCAAAACCATTTCAAGATTAAACTGTTGGCAAATTCAGCACCTTCCTTCTGCTGGTGAAGCAGTTAGATGAACTAGTACTTGTTCAAATAATCTCATTTAACTTACATGAGATGCTGGCTTCTATGGTATGTTATTTCATACTTTTCATCAGCAACCTGATTCTAAGTTTGCTGGAACCAGTTTTCTGAGTAGGTTACTTTTCATCCACATTGTTTATAAAGATGAGTTTTATAGCAGCTACAGAAGTAGAACTTGTGTGATAATCCATCTTTCTCCCATGTGCGTTATCAAACATAGTAAAAAATAAAAAATGCTACTTCTCAGTTGTAGTTGTATAGCATTGCTATCATCAAGCTTGTGTGAAGGAATGCTAAGCCTTAGGTATGTTTCAAAAAAGCCTTGGCAAAAACCCCTACAATTCAAGATTTTAACCCTGCTACAACCTGGCTCATCATACACACCAATCATCAACTGCATTTTCCTTGCATTTTTTACTTGAAAGTCTGCTTCCAGACACACACACACAAAAAAGATCAGTACAGACTTTGTTTCTGAGTATTTTTCAATCACACCTTCAAAGTGTGTAGAGGGGAGTTTAAAATGCTAAGTTTTCTTTAACTATCTCTAAGTTGACAGTTCTCTTAGTGAATTGTTGCTGAAAAAGTTATAGCACCAACTGGGCTCTGGAAGTAGAAAAGGTTATTTTGTAATTTTAAAAGCCAAAAAGAGGCAATGAAACCTTTAGCTTCTATGTTTAACAGGTATATTCTAACTACTCCAGCATGCAAATCATTCAGGTATCATTTTCAGTATTTACTTTCACTTAACCAATTTAAAGGTCTCAAATACAATTACAGCAGATTATTTACATATCTGAGCACTAGCCTTGTTGAACTGCCATTTAGAACTGAGAATACATTCGAGTATCTGAAACCTTGAATAAATTTTTTTCACGGGTTTAATTTTTTAACACTCAGACGATTCCCATGTGTCCCAGCCCCACGATGCACAGAGTTTCAGTGAAAATAGAAGTCTCCTTTAAAAGATACCATTCCACACTCCAAGAGAACGTGTTTAGCCTACCCGACTCCTCCGAGATACAGGAAGTCCCAATGACGAGCCATTGTCTACATCTCCCATAAGGAAGTCTGAAACACTGCCAGAAAAACAAAGAACTGGGTTACTTCATTACTTTACCTCACCAAGCAATTTTGTATCACTGGGGGAAAAGAATAAATCAGTTTCTAACATCCTTTAAAAGTTCTGCAAACCACTTTTAGAAGCAGTCTTATATTCCCTGCCATTCCTACACCATCATACATTTCCCTGCTAAGGAAAAAAATCCAAACTGACAAACACTCAAAGCAGTAAAATTCTTGTAGATGTGGTTAACTTAAAGTAATTTATCTGCTAACATTTGTCCAAAAGAAAACCAAAGTTTTGGTGGTGCTTGTCTAGTCTTATTTTGATTCAGCTCCATTGAGCTCTTCAAAAAATCCTTCTGGATTCCAACTTACACGTTTCCAAAGGTGAATGCCAATGTTTCAATGGAAGAAGATATTTCACTGAAAAGCTCTCTCTTGTTCTCTTCGTTAACTTCTTTGAAGTTCACCGCTTAGGAAGAAAACCATGAAAACCAAAGGGTGAGAGGTGAGGTCAATCAAGCAAGTTACTAGGCCTAAAGACAAATTTTATACACAAAGTCTCCTACAGAACGTGCAACTTTATACCTTCTGAATAACTGAAAAAACCACAGTTTTAACGAAGATTCCTGATAAAGTAAACACCAAAGGAAAGAAATTAACACAATCCAGATGCTTCCCAAAATGAAATCAGATTACTCTTTCACTTCCTGTATCTTCCCACTTAAGCAGCAGCTTTGTGTGGGAACATGTTGGTAATGAGACAGGAAGAGAAAAACAGTCATTTACCAACAAAAGTCAAATCACACAGCAGCAGTACCACAAAGCAGCTCACAAATGCAGTCAGATATTTGAAAAACCATTTCTTTTCTGAGTAGGAATTTTAGAATTCAGAACAGTAGCAGCAGTTTATGGTGACCCTCCAGCTGCATGCAACCCAGAACACAGCATTTTGTACAGGCCTGTGTACAGGCACACAGAAAGTGAGAAAAAGGTAGTGTCCATTGCAACACCCTTGAAATATTTAGCTCCACAGTCTGGCACAAGTCCCTCAGTTTTGCCTGTTAAAAGAGGGGAGGAAACTCAGCATAAACTGATGGTCCAAAATAGGAAGAGGAGCATTGCTGGACAGACTAGATGGTTTAAACTGGTGATCCAGTATTTAGCCACTCAACACTAAGCCTTTAACACGCTTCCATGACAAACTGGAATAATGAGACAACAAGAATGATTCATCCAGAGCTTCTATTAACAACTGCTAAACAAGGAGGAGGAGGGAAAAAGGAGAAGACAAAAAGCACAACCGTTTTTGTCTGTTTCCAACTTAACTCCTTAATCATTAGTGACAAAGATTTTTTTGTAGTAAAGTCACATACAGTCTTTAAATCAAAGCTGTGCCTTTAGGATGCAAGTTCTTCCCAGTATTACATTGTGAGAAGTGACAATTTCACGTTAGTATTTATTTTGTTAAAGTTTATTTTTCTTAAGCAATGCATTAATTCTCGAGATGCGTAAGTCACACATGCTCATTTCTGTTTCAGATACTGCAATGACACACAGATATTCACCTCACTCATCACTTTTTGCAAAACCTGTAACAAGGTTAACTTATGTATCTTTCTTACATTTCTGAGTAGAAATAGGGAAATAATAGACTACAACGACTTCTAGAAGTAGCAAAAAATTAAATCATGTTAAAATGCTGCCCATTTTATACACATTTTCTTAGCAAATTAAAGTAACAGGCTTTAATCTTTAAAAGTATTCAAACTTCCTGCCAGGTGCCTAAACACTAATGGGTAACAAACAAAGAAAGTACAGTAATCTGCTCCCCCATTAGACTTCCTTTGTGAAAGGAAAAGTTTTTAACCAGTAAAGTAATACAGTTAAATCTACTCCATTTTACACAGCATGCCAACAAGCCTGATCACCATTTTAATAAAAACTATTTCTATACAAAGCTATTACTCAAAATATATATTCTTCTCATAGACTATCTGTACAATTACTTGCAGATATGGAATAATGTGTTGCAATAAGCCTACAGCAAAAAACAATCACCACATATTACAAAAATATTACCAGGCTCTGTTGCCACAGTTCACAGCTCAATTACAGCTTCTCCTGCCTCTTCATTCTGCCACACTTTGTAATTAGGTTTAAAAAAAAATGCCTCTGGCACCTTTTGTTTGAAATGAAGACTCAATAAGCTCCACAGATAATATTTCTTTTTAAAAAACCAACTTTGTAAGTAGCGGTGGGTTTTTAATTTTTTTTAAATCAGGTTAGCTGAAAACCTCAACTTTCCAGAAATAATACTACTTATAAATCTAAACTTTGCATTCCACATCATTAAGCAACAACAGTTACTACGAGACCTATTGATTACCAGCCACTAACGACTGGAAAAATCATTTGAGTGCTGGCATGAAACACAAACTGTTTCAAAATTAAAAGCAACTAACAAAAATTGTCTACACATTCAAAGCACTTACCACTGAAACATTAGTATATCCATTAGCTGCAGTGTCTTCAGAGAAAGAGCACTTCTTTCACTTTGTTAGTAAGACATTAATCTAGAGAGCCTTCCCCCAAAGAAATGCTCTATTTCACTCTGCCTTCCTGTACCAGGAAGAGTTTTGTTAAGCTTTACACTTTATATGCCAGAAAGATCCTTTCTTTTCAGAATCCATCACAAAAGGAATAACCAAATCTCAAATTTTGCAGAATTACCACTTCTCTCCCAAAAAGTTAGTCCAATTTCTTAGTAACACAGTAGAATACAAACTGCTTTCTTCTAGCTTTACCACCAAAGGAATGCTGATGTACTTAACATCAACTTTAAACCACGCACTCTCTTTCCCCAGGACATCCTGACTGCACACAATAGCCACTGACAACAATGAACCATAGTAATCTTGCCATGTCTGGAAATGACAGCTATCTATCTATAGCTCTACAGATTTCAAAGCAAATACACAACTTGACAACTCTTTTAAGTAAGACATCAGATGACGCATAATGAACTTCAAAAGAATCATATGACAGTGATACATTAAAAATCCAAATCCAGTACCTGAAATGCAACCCTAGCTTACAGTGGATCTGTACTTCCAAAGCTGTCTTCAAATTGAGGTGGGTTTGGCAACCTCATCAAAATGCTGCAAGACTCTGTGAAGTTTCAGCTCTTGGGTCGTGCCATCAGAACTTTTCTGAATCAAGCACAGACCAGGCTGGGGAACCAGAAACAGCTATGAAAGTTTTGGAAGTGAGAATCCCAGAAGCTGAAGCGCCGCCTGAGGATATTTGAGCAATGCTTCTCAAGCTATAATGAAGACACTGTCTGCTGTCAAGACCAAAGTACACCCAGGGACAGATGTGGACAGTTCACAGCGACCACAGCACAGCTCACAAGCACAGCCCATGGGACACAGCCATGCTGGAGCCTGCAGAGGTTTACTTGCTTCCTCAATCCCCCTCCCCAGACATGTGGGAGACTGGCAGTATCAAAGATACTTTGCCTGCTGGCTGCAGAGCCTGGAGAAGTCAAAATGACACCAAGCATGCAGAATTTGCTCTTTGCAGGTCAATTTTCTCACACCAAATAGACACATATATAGTAACATCAACATCTATTTCTTTTAGACAAGAATACATGTCCAATCCATACTTTACTAGCTGACTTCCAAGCACTAAGCAACTGGCTGACTTCTTGGAACTAAATACCTTTGCAAGCAATTTTCTCTTTAAACTCTCAATGATGCCCTCAAGAAACTTTCAGAACTATTACAAAAATATAACCACCATATCCAAGCAAACAAAAAACCTCAACCAAGACCAAAAAAATCACTCCCTCTCCCCCCCAAAAACTTGTAATATTTCTTATTACCTCTCTTTTTAAAAAACATGTAAATAAACTGGGGGGAGGAACCCAAGGAAAGAGCGGTACTATGCCGACTGGAAAGTGGCAGAAGAATATTCTTGGAATGTCACAACTTAAGAGGATCAGCAGGCTGTCCAGGCCCCACTCTTCTACTTTTACTTCTTAGTGCCATATAATTTCACCAGCCTGTACTTACCACCAGGTTTGGCAGCCTCCTCAACTTGAGCTGGATGCCAACAAGACAACTTTGAGGAACTGTTTCCTACATCCTCCATGATCATTTTTGCTCTGAATTTACATCCCAGATACACCAACAAAGTTGAAATTACTTCATCTTGCTAGAAGTATTTCATTTTGATGCAGAACTACTAAAAAATGAAACAAACCCATACCTAAAATAGGAAATTTCTACAGGATAAGTGCAATTTTCAGCTTTACCAGGAACCTGTGTTCATTCTAGTAATTCAGTTAAGTCCAAAGGTATAATTTAGAGCCAAAGAGCAGTACAAATTTGAATTCAGCATAGGATCAGGAGACATGTGCACTCTGGATCCATCAACTGCTTAAAAGGTACCAAGTGGGAAAACAATAACTATGACTATGATGCTGTGCCAGACTGGGAAGTGACTGCCAGAAATCGAAGTCTAAAGAGGTTCCAAGCAAGATGCTTCAGTAAGTCTCAGTTCTTCCAGATCAAGTGAGGTGTCATTTAGAAGACACTCTTCACAGAGCACTCAAGTAAGCATGTGTAAGTATTAGAGTCCAAAGCGGTCCAGTGAACCATGTCATGTCCAAGACAGACAAATCAAATGCATCGTGTCCCGCCCCCACCATTTTTCTTCAACCTCAGTCCAAAATGGTAATTTTCTGACATTATCAGGTCTGCCAAGCATCCTTCTCTGTAGCAAGATTCAGATAACATTTTATAGCTAGTTTTTCCTCCATTTCGCCTTTAAAACAGAAAAAAAAAACCCCAAACCAAAAGCATTACACATCCAAAGCAGAACTACAAGCACATTCATATCATTCTCATTGAAGGTCCTGAGAAATGGCTGAGAGGCTTGAAAAAGTGACACAAGCACTGGAATTCCTGCTAGCATTCAAAACATTCCCACTTGCAGTAAAGAGGCTGTCTATCTGCACTGGCCATTACGTTTAAAGCACAGCGTAACTTGTTACGGTTACGAGAGCACTTCACAAGAGTTGCAGAGGTTCCAAAGTTACTGCAACTGATTTCATGAAGAGCAAAAGGCATTCACTTGTTAAAATAGTCATTTGCCCCTATATGAAGTCCCAAAGACAAACTAATTAGAAACCCTGGCATTATGCAAAGGCTCAAAAACCAGGGGGTGGAATCACAT